GTGTGCTGGAGATGGAAGAGCAGCACCAGACCTGGCAGACCAGATAATTACACCTGTAACGTTAATGAACCTTGCCTTCATAGCTAATTCAACATTTTCCCAAGGAGTACATGTGTAGAATACCAGTTTGTCAGGAAGATGCTATGGATGATTGTACAATATCAAACAAATTAAGATGTAGTAACTACAGCTAATGCTAGTACTGTTGATATCAAATATTGTAACCTTTCTAGTGTTTATAATCGTGCTAATAGCACTGAAAATGTATGCAACCTGAGTAACAGTAGTGGGAATATAACTCTAGCAACCCTCAGTGTGCATAATAGTTGTTATACTAATTTTATTAACAATATGGAGTTGCTGCCTATGGTACCAGTCATGTGGCATTGTGTCTCATGTCTTCATCATGATCAGGAATCAAAGGACTGGATGTAATGGATGGAAACCTAGCTGAACTGAGAGACATAAAGTATGTTTTTTGTCAAAATGTATTCAGTAGAATATATATGTTTATGTTCATCATGACTGTCAGAAAGGGGCAGGAAAACAGGTGTGCAGCTGTTCTATGACCTTCATACTTGGCCTCACCAGGGCACTTGGCCAACACTTTCAGCATGGACAAAAGTGATATCATGAGAAACTGCACGGCCCCACAAATAAACAGTTACAGAGCTGGCATGAAGTCAGTTGTTTTTTAAGGGTATAAAAGCAGGACCCTCCTGTAGCCAAATCCAAATCCTCAACTATGGGTGGATGCACTGCATAGGAATTTTCCCAGTTACCTGATACAGTAACTGTAGCCAATTCTCCTGATAGCTTCCGGAGAGGGCCCACATTGTCCATAGTCTGTCTTTTATTTGCAGTGTACCTATAGAATCCCTTCCTCTTATCTTTCACATCCCTAGCCAAGTTTAATTCTAACCGGGCCTTAGCTTTCCTAACCGGGTCCCTCACTTCCAGGACAACATCCCTGTATTCTTCCCAGGCCACCTGTCCTTGCTTCCACCTTTTATAAGCCTCTTTTTTCATTTGAATTTTCCTCAGCAGCTCCTTATCCATCCAAGGAGGTCTCCTGGCCCTGCTCCTGCACTTCCTTCTAGTTGGGATGCAACACTCCTGAGCTTGTAGCAGGTGAGCCTTGAATATCAACCAACAGTCTTGGACCCCCTTGCCCTCTAGGGCTATATCTCATGGAACCTTACTGAGCATATTCCTGAAGAGGCCAAAGTCTGCTTTCTTGAAGTCCAGGGCAGTGAGCTTGCTGCACACTCATCTCACTGTCCTGAGGATCTCAGGCTCCACCATCTCATGATCAACTACAACCAAGGCTGCCCTGGAGTGTCACATTTCCAATCAGCCCTTCCCTGCTAGTGAGCATGAGGTTAAGCATGGCTCCTCTCCTTGTTGGCTCCTCTATTACTTGTAGAAGGAAGTTGTCTTCCACACAATCAAGGAGCCTCCTGGATTGCTTCTCCCTGGCCGTACCATCCCTCCAGTAGATGGATGAAATGGGTAGTTGAAGTCCCCCATGAGAACAAGGGCCTGCGAGTGTGAGGCTGCTCCTATCTGTCTATAGAGCACTTCATCCACAGAGTACTCTTTATCAGGCGGTCTGTAACAGATACCCACAGTAATGTCTCCCATAGCTCTTCTCCCTTTAACCCTGACCCACAGACAGAGTTCCATATTCTCCACCCTATCTCTAACATAAATAGCAACTCCCCCTCCCCATCTGCTGGGCCTGTCTTTTCTAAAGAGCCTGTAACCTTCCATTCCAACACTTCAGTTATAGGAGCCATCCCACCATGTTTCTGTGATACCTATTATATCATATCCCCGTAGATGTGCACACATCTCTAATTCCTCTTGTTTGCTCCCCATACTACAGCCATTTGTATAGAGGCATCTGAGCCGAGCTCCAAATGAAGCCACCTCATTGGCTGGAATATCTCTACATTGCTCTGAGCATTTATTATAGGTGCTGGCAACTGACTGGGTGTGTTGGGATGGAATGATTCCCCCTCCCCCAACACATCTAGTTTAAAGCTTTCTTGACCAGCCTGGCAAGCTTCCTGCCAAAACTGCTGTTCCCTTTTGTTGTCAGACCAGCTCCACCAGCCTCCACCAGACCTGGCCTCCCAGATTGTGTCCCATGTTCTAAATACCCAAACCCCTGACTATGGCACCACCCTTCTAAACATTTATTAACCTGGCCAATGCTCCTAGCCTTTTTAAGATCCTGCCCTTTATCCTAGAGAATTGATGAAAATAATGTTTGAGCTCCAGATCCCCCAACCACCTCCCCAAGGTCTCTGTAGTCCTTCTTAATGTTCTCCAGGCTAATGCTGTCTACATCACTAGCACCCACATGGACAACTAGAAGTGGGTAATAGTCAGTGGGACTTATTAGACCAGGCAGCCTCTCTGCAACATCCCTGATCTGAGCCCCTGGTACGCAGCACACCTCCCTTGAGACTGGGTCAGGCTGACAGATGGGTGCCTCTGTGCCTTTCAAAGTAGAGTCCCCTACTACTATGACCCAGCACTTTTTCCTGGCAGCACCAGTAGTGATCTTCTTTAGCAGTGCATCAGCAGGTTATTCATGCTGCGAATGTGTTTCCTCATTAGCCCCCTGCAGAACTGCGAAGCTGTTCTGGATGGGGACATCAGATTCAGGAGGAAGCCCCTTACTTTTAATTGTCCTCTTCCTCCTTTTTTTGTTGGGTTTTGATACTATTTCCCAGCTTCCTGGGTTAACAGCTTCCTTCTTTCCTCCATGAGCTACAGTGGATGCTTGAGGCCCCTGCACAGTTTGGGCCTGGAGCAAGCAGTCCTGCTTCCTCTCGGCTTCCCTGACATCTTTTAGCCTATTGACAGCGTCCCGCAGCTCAGCCACCTGCTGCAGGAGGACCTCCACCAGGGAGCACCAGGTGCAGCCCTGCCCATTGTGCACCCTCGCCTCAAGAGACTAGCGCAGGCACTCTCCACTCTGAGCTCTGAGCTGCAGACTCCCCTCTCATCGGCTCTGTCTCGGTGCTTACACTGGCTACCGCCAGGGCAGCCAAAGAGCTCCCAGACTGGGCCCTGGTCATACGACGAGTGCTCCCAATCCTGCTCACCTGCACACCCAAACTACCACACCACACCCTAATCGCTGACGCTCCCTGGGGCGGGTTTTTAACCCGTCAGGGTTGGTGCCGTCTGTCCTGGCACAGTCCACTGTGAGTCAGCTTCTCGTGTCAGCTGAGCTGCCGGCTCCTGGGCAAGTCTTGTCAAGGACCTGAGGCTCTCTCGGTAGCTTTTGCTGCTCTGAAGTGAGGCTCCTGGATGTTGAGCTTCCCCCATCTCAGGTGTTGAAGGCGTCCTCTCTAGAGCTACTCAACTCAGCAATTCAACGTTAATTAACACTACTTAAAATTGATTCTACTTATTTATAAAGGATTAAATTTACTTTTGTGATTTTGTGCCTCCTTGTCACAAATCCCCCCTTTTTTTGTCCTTTTGCAAATTCTTTTGCAACATTTTATATACTACCATTACAATCTAAAGTCTTTTTGAAATATTTTCCTCTTTCTACTTGATGCTTGATTTCATTTCTTTTCCAATCTTCATAATTTATCATAGATCATTTACAACACCAGAAGGAACATTGTATCATACCACAAGTAATCAATATTGAAACAATTAATATTAATATTCCTGCAACCAGTTGCCTCAGCCAGGAGAGATTAGGTAATTCTTAGGACTTGGGGGTATTGGTCGATGAGAAAATGAACATGAGCTGGCAGTGTGTGCTGGCAGTCCAGAAAGCCAACGGTATCCTGGGCTGCATCAAAAGGAGCATGACCAGCAGACTGAAGGAGATGATCTTGCCCCTCTACTCTGCTCTCATGAGACCTCACTTGGAGTATTGTGTACAGTCCTGGTGTCCTCAACATATAAAGGACATGGGACTGTTGGAACAAGTCCAGAGGAGTGCCACGAGGATGATCAGAGGACTGGAGCACCTCCCGTATGAAGATAGTCTGAGAAAGTTGGGGCTGTTCAGCCTGGAGAAGAGAAGACTGTGTGGGGACCTCATAGCAGCCTTCCAGTATCTGAAGGCTGCCTATAGGGATGCTGGAGAGGGACTCTTCACTAGGGACTGTAGTGATAGGACAAAGGTTAATGGGTTCAAACTTAAACAGGGGAAGTTTAGACTGGATATAAGGAGGAAGTTCTTTAGTGTAAGGATGGTGAGGCACTGGAATGGGTTGCCCAGGAAGGTTGTGAATGCTCCATCCCTGTCGATGTTCAAGGCCAGGTTGGACGAGGCCTTGGGTGATATGGTTTAGTGTGAGGTGTCCCTGCTCATGGCAGGGGGTTGGAACTAGGTGATCTTAAGGTCCTTTCCAACCCTAACTATTCTATGATTCTAACCATAAAGCTAACTTTATCCATATTTCTCCAAAACCCCAAGAAGTATCATCCTTGATCATTTCATGAAATATCTTAGTTTGTTTCCAAATTTCCTCCAGATCTGTTTCAATTTTGCCTCTTTGATCTATATAGGAACAGTAAGTTTCATTGATTATGGAACAAACTCATCCTTGTGAAGCCAATAACATGTCTAGAGCCATTCTGTTTTGTAATACCACTTTAGATAGGCTAGCTATCTCTTTTTGTTCCACTTGGATTATATCAGTAGTTTTACTTTCTATTTCCTCTATGGTTGCTGAGATATTTACAATTGCCTTCTCTAACTCACTTACTCCCAAAGATGGAATTAGCCCTCTTACAAAACTATGAAATTCTGTGTTCCATTCGGCAATAGGCTTCAACCCTTGCTTAATCCGTTTAACGAAACTGCTAACCCAGGTTCCAGAAGGATATATGTCAATAGTAGTAGGATTGGGTATCACAGCACCTAAGGTGCATGCCCCCTTCCAGTTGGGGGGCAGAGTCTTATAAGCATTTTCTCCACATAACCAATACATACTTTCCCTTCAGGAACTGGCCACCACTGAACTACAATACCATCTATATTAATAGTGTGATTGCAATTTGAATGGTTACCTACACCTGTGGCATTTAAACAAACATAATCTCCTACCATGGTTCCTGGTGTAATACATCTTTGTACACAGGTATAATATTTTCTACTTGGATTAGGATTAACGATCCGAAGTCTTAACTTTTCCCTCGTATGTAGATTGCTAGTGTTCACCCACAAATTTGTCCATGAGACAGTGTTGGGAATTGGAATGCCAATTAATAGAAGGTCTGTATTTTCTCCTCATTTAGGCAACTGTGCACACACCCAACAGTTACTGCGATTAAAAATTTTAGTAACATTCTGCACTAATTTCAGGTATAAATTCTGGTCCCAAGTTGTATGCCAGTTATCATACAAGTCCAAATTATGACCGATGCAATTTCATACATAAGGGTCCTGAAGACCATGTCTTCTCTGGCTCTGGTGCTTTCTTTGTTCTTGAATAATGTATCCAAGCAGGTTATTCCTTTATCTTCACTGCTGTAAAGGTGGTCAGTAATATCTGGTATGGTCTGCTCCACTTCTCCTGTAGAGGATTTCCTGAAAAATTCTTAACATAAACCCAGTCTCCAGATCTGAAAGGTTGAATTGGATAATCCACACCTCTTGCTCTTGTCCCTAATATTCTCTTATTTAGTTCTTCTAATTGTTTTCCCAGATTGACCAGAAACTGCCAGAGATAGCCTTCTCCCACTTCCTGAAGACTTTCTCCTTTAAACTGGGACTGATATGGTCTTTCATATAGAGTTTCAAATGGGCTAACCTCTTCTTTCAATCGAGGTTTAGTACGAATTCTTAATAGAGCTGGTGGTAAGGCTTGGTACCAATATAAATTCATTTCCTGACATACTTTACTAATCTGTTGTTTAATCAGATGGTTCATCTTTTCTACTTGCCCACTGGCCTAAGGCCTGTATGGAACATGTAGTTGTGAATCAATCTCTAATTTTTTGCTAATTTCTTGTAACAATTTTGCACTGAAGTGAGAGCCTCAGTCAGAAGAGATTGCCACTGGTACTCCAAAACGAGGTATTATCTTGTTTAATAATGTTTTAATCACTTGTCTTCCATTAATTATCCTACAAGGGAATGCTTCTGGACAGCCTGAAAAAGTATCTGTTAACACCAATAAATATTGATAGCCTCCTTTTCCTGGTAATTCAGAAAAAAATTATTTGCCACTGCTGTCCCGGATAACTTCCTCTCCCCATTGTCCCTATTTGATTTCTATTTTCAGTTTTAGGATTATTCTTAAGACAGAGCTGACATTGTTTTGTCACTAATTGAACTATGGTATATAGATTCCTTCCTTCAATTTGTTCATCTAAGTATTTATACAAAGAGTTGCTACCCCAATGAGTTTTATTATGTTCCTCCTGAACTAGCTTCCAGAGTTGGTTATAGGGGATTACAATTCGCCCATCAGGTATCTGAACCCCACCCTCTTTATTTTCCTGTCCTTTTAGATCCTCAATCAATTTTCTATCCTCTTTTGAATACCTAGGTTTAGATTTCTCAATTGTTAGTTTGCTGTCAGTGACTAAGAACATGATTGTAGATTGTTCAACTGCTCATTTGGCTTCAAAATCAGCCAAATTATTTCCAATTTCCTGATTAGACTCACCTTGTTGATGCCTTCTACAATACATAATAGACACTTCCTCAGGTAGCTGAACAGCTTCCAGTAGTCGTAGAATTGCTGTAGCATGCTTAATCTGTTTCCCCTGTGTGTTAAAAAGTCCTTGTTCTTTCCAGATGGCACCATGTGCATGGACCACACCAAATGCATATTTAGAATCAGTCCAAATATTTATCCTTTTTTTCTTTAGCCAATTCCATGGCTCTCGTTAATGCTATTATTTCTGCCTTCTGGGCAGGGGTGTTTGCAGGTAAAGGTTTAGCTTCTATAACCTGTGAAGTGGTGGTAACAGCATATCCTGCCTTTCGTTCACCATTTTTCATGAAGCTACTACCATCAATAAACCAAGAATCAGCATCTTCCAGAGGTTTTTCTTTCAAGTCTGGTCAGCTTGAATATACAGTCTCTATAGTGGCCAAGCAGTCGTGTTAGTGGTTCTGTCAATCATTCCTGCAAAAAGGATGCTGGATTCACAACATAAGTGACCACAATTTCTATATCACAGTATTACAGTATCACAGTATGCTAGAGATTGGAAGGGACCTCAAAAGATCATCTAGTCCAATCCCCCTGCTGGAGCAGGAACACCTAGATAATGTTACACAGGAATGTGTCCAGGTGGGTTTTGAATGTCTCCAGGGAAGGAGACTCCACAACCTCCCTGGGCAGCCTGTTCCAGTGTTCTGTCACCCTCACTGAGAAGTTTCTTCTCAAGTTTAAGTGGAACCTCTTGTATTCCAGTTTGTACCCATTACCCCTTGTCCTATCATTGTTTGCCACTGAGTAGAGCCTGGCTCCATCCTCGTGACACTCCCCCTTTATATATTTATATACACTAATAAGGTCACCCCTCAGTCTCCTCTTCTCTAAACTATAGAGACCCAGCTCCCTCAGTCTTTCCTCATAAGGGAGATGCTCCACTCCCTTAATCATCTTAGTTGCCCTGCGCTGGACTCTCTCCAGCAGGTCCCTGTCCTTCTTGAACTGAGGGGCCAATATCATCGTTCTGCTCCAGGCCCGCTGATACAACATGGGACACTAGTACCAGTAATCTTTTGTCCCAAGGAAAATTTGAGAGCCTCTTCAATATTCATGACAACTGCCACCACAGCCCTTAGGCATCCGGCCATCCTTTGCTCACTTCATCCAGCTGTTTTGAAAAATATGCCACTGCCCTTTTATAGGGTCCTAATTTCTGAGCAAGGACCCCCAAGGCTATTCCCTGGTTTTCATAGGAATATAGCCAAAAGGGTTTAGTCACATCCAGAGGTCCCAGAGCTGGAGCTCTCATTAGCTCTGTTTTTAAATTTCTTAAAGCCTCCTCTGCTGAATTAGTCCATTCCAAAGAGAGGATTTCTTTTTAACAGTTCATATAGTGGTCTTACCAGAACACCATAATCATGGATCCAAAGTCTGCACCATCCTGTCATTCCCAGGAATGTCTGGAGCTCCTTGATGGTTGACAGTCGTGGAGTTTGACAAACAGCTTCTTTTCTAGCAGTTCCAAGTTCTCTCTGTCCTCTTGCTGTTTCATATCCTAGGTAGGAAACTCTGGTTTGCATTAGTTGAGCCTTTTGTTTGTATACCCAATAGCCATTCAGTCCCAGAAAATTTAATAATTCCACTGTCCACTGGATACATTCTTCCTTTGTTTCTGTAGCAATTAATAGGTCATCCACGTACTGTAACCCTATTGACCCCGTCTGAGTGGGTGGCTTCCATGTTTCTAGTTCTCGTGCTAACTGATTTCCTAAAATCATTGGACTGGTTTTAAACCCTTTAGGTAATACCATCCAAGTTGAGTTTTCCTTCCTGTGTCTGGATTATCCCCTTTGAAAGCAAATAAATTCTGGCTTTCTTTGGCCAATGGTAAGCAAAAGAAAGCATCCTTTAAATCCAAGACAGCAAACCGTTTCTGATTATTATTCAATTTAGTCAATAAGGTATAAGAATTACCTACTACTGGATGAATATCTTCTGCAGTTTTGTGTATTATTCTGAGATCTTGAACCAACCTGCAACTTTTCCCATCGTATTTCTTTACTGGCAATATAGAAGTATTATATTCCAATTCACATTCAATTAATAATCTATATTTTAAAATTTAGCAAAGATTTCTTTGATTCCCTTTGATATTCTAATTTTAAGGGATATTGTTTTATTCTAATTGAGCAGGCCCCTTCCACTTTAAAAGGAAAAGCATTTTTCGCCTTACCTGGAAATTCAGATGCCCATACTCCCAGATATACCTGATTAAGGATTTCTTCTATTTCAGGGAGGTCCTCCTGTTTGCTTTTCTGTTGAATTAAAGATAAACTCAAAACTGCAATTAATTGATCATTTTTAACTCTTAATTCCATTTTGCCTTCTTTAAATGATGCTTCTCACCCTAATAAAGATTTTGGAGAATTTGACATACATAAAAATTTATGCACTCCTATTTGTTTTCCCAATTTGTGCTCTAAAGGTTTCAGAAAGAATGCTTTTTTTTTTTTAAGTTGGCGGCCAGTAGTTCCCACAACTGTAACAAAATCTTTTCCCTCACATTTAATGCCGAATAAGTTGCTCCTTGTATCCACTAAAAAGTCCACTTTATTTCCTCTAGTCCCTAGCTTTATTTAACCAATGGATCTGCTAAGGTAGATTCCCCAGGGCCCCATCAGTCTAATTTTAGTTCAGTCACCGAAGCCACTTTGTGGGTATTTCTTTTAGGGCAGTTTCACTTCCAACGTCCAAATTCCCTACAGTATGCACATTGATCTGCTCTCACAGGAGAAGAATTTGATCTTTCACCTCTGCCTGCCATTCCTCCTCCACTTCTGCCTGCCCCAGCCCTCATCCCACAATCAAACACAGGAGCTGCGTGAGCAGCTTTCCCTTTCCCCTTGGTTTTCCTTTTTTTTTTTCACAGTTGCTCACCCTGCTCTGCAGCTGCTACAGATGCCTGCCTCTGCACTTCTGTTTTAACCCTTTCTTAACTCTTAATGTGAATCTGCTGATTGTTGCCAGTGATAGCGATCTCTTCCTCCTTATCAATATCAGATAGGGCAGATGCAGAGGCTGCTCCTCTCGGAGGTACTTGTGATACATGATTCTCCAACCTATCTTCCTGATTACTCTGGGTTTTTTTGTTTGTTTTTTTTTTTTTTCACTTTAAACATCTTTCCCCAATATCACAGGCTGAACAACATGTCTCCATCTTAGCTTTCTGCCTTTCCCTGTCCTTTTCCAAAGCCAAAATTAAGGGATCTGTCGGAGCTATATTAATTTTGTATTCCATCTGTCATGCCGGGTGGTTTCCTAAAGTGAAAAACATATCTTCATACACCACTTCATCCCATTTTCCTTGTCGCCTTAAGAACAACATCAATTGTAACAACGTATTATAGTTCAATGTTCCATTTTTAGGCCATTTTTCCTGGTCTTCCAAAGTATACAAAGGCCACCATTGGTTACAATATTTTATCAACGTTTTCTCATTTACCGAGCCCCCAGGAAACCCTCCCAGTTCTTTCCAATGTGCCAAAATGCATCCTAAAGGACTCTTTTTCAAGATCTCTCCACTCTGCTGATTTCCTATTATCAGTCTCACATTCACACACACATTAGGGATCCCACAGACACTCCACACAGTTACAACACTTGAGACAGAGACTAAAATTCAATCAAACAAACAACAATTAATGACACAGTTATAACATCCTGACACCAATGCCAAAATCACAAGACCAAAATCATTACTGTAACAATCCACAAAATAAGTCAAATATCATTAAGATCCAAAACCATTTCCACAAGACACCCCCTGCGTCCTGTAGGACCCAAACCACAAGATGATCCCTGCTTCTTGTGGGTGTATACCAAACAGATGCTAGAAGCCGGGTATACGCCTTTACCTATGAGATTTCCTATCTCGATTTACAGAAGTCTTCCTATCCATGTGTACGCTTACCAACCCAATTTAGTCTTTATGTAAGGTGCCCCCTGCACCTTACAGACTGTATAAAAGAATACCTTTTATGTTGATGGTCCTTGTCTGCTCCTGCAGCTATCCAAAGGAGTTGAGGGGTCCCTCTGGGAAAAACTTCTGATGGCCCTAGGGGAGCCCTGTCCTCATTGGGTCCTGCAGCCGAGCAGATTAGGTTTCATCTGGATCTGCAGACTGATTCGGAAGAAACTCCAGGAGCAAACTCGCCAGCAGAGTTTCAAGTTGACAAGCAGGTATTCTTTACTGCTGCGACGGGAGACAAGGGGGATAGCTCCACCTAGCGTGTGTCCTCGTATTGCCACACAAGACATCCTTATACAATCGCTGGGCATACATGCGTATTCACGAGGCTGCATATGAATTACATCATTTTCCAGAAAGTTTCCCCTCATGCGTACAAAAATGTGGTGGTGGTCTCTGAGGGTCGATTACTTCTTCCAACAACCTCCATCACCTCTGGCAGCCTTTGAAGCATGCACTGTAGATGTTTATCCCAGCTTAATTAGCTCAGTAACACTGCAGACATAGCAATCATGCTGTCCTACTTATCTGTTAGTTTAGCTGCAGCCCATCCTGGACACCTGCTAGTCCCAGATACTACCCATCCCCACATCCTGTTTTACTATCCTGTTTTTCTTACACTTATTTTTGTACCAAGGTCATAAGGACCTAAAACTATGCCAACTACAACAGTTTATCTTATACAAGAATCCTCAGTATGTTCTCTAGCTGCACTCTTTTTTTTTTTCTGTGAAACATGCACTTCAGTTATTTTCCATTGCTACTGTTACAAAGCCATCAAACTTAACATTAGTTAAAACTGATTCTACTTATTTACAAAGGTTTATATTTCATTTTGTGATTTTGTGCCTCCTTGTCTCACTGCAACACCCATCCCTTACCGAGCCCTTACAATTAGGTTTACCAGTGCTAATACACTTTCATATTAACTGTTAGAGACCAGCTAAGGAGAGAAACACAGGAGAAAGAGTCCGAAGCAGTCTGTTGTGGACTTTAGCTTCTATTTCTAGCTAAGCAGTTCTGCTACCCCCTCCCAAGATAGATTCATATAAAAATTAGTTTGTCTCAACAGGAAGGCATCAAGCCTCTGTAATGCAATAGCTCTTTTTTTAACTAATTCTGTATTTTTTCAGTTTAATGTTAGTGTTCTATCAGCAAAAGCACTGTTTAGTGTTCTATAACTCTTTTTACAATTTCTAAATATATATTTCTGTAAGACCTACCTTCTGGATTCTTAGGGGTTTACAAGCTGCTACAAAATGATGTTCAAAACAGCCACCTACAGGAAACAGCATGTGCCTTATCTTAACTTTTCCAGCTACTGTGCTAACTTCACCAGAGGCACTTCCTACTCAAGAATACAATAATAAATTTCCTCATAGATCCATATGTAACTAGATATTAATTGATTCTTTCCCATGACTAATTTTGAAACAGAGGTATAGAACTTAATTCCTTTTGGGGATTTTTCTCCTTAACAGCCCTTACAGATTCAAACCATTGTGGATGTTTTCAACATGTGAAAAGTCAGAGAGACCAAAGAATTCAACACGTTGGGAGGTGAGAGATAATATTAGCATCTTCAGTGTTTTGTTGCACAAAGACTGTCAGGACTGGAACCCAAAGTACTAAGAGGTGTGTTCTGGAAGACTTGAGGTCAGTTCTTACTCTGAAAAGCACAACTAAAAATAATTGCAGGAAAAGTAATTTGCCATTTTTGTGGACTCAGGTTCTGGGTTGCCCAGCATCCCAAATGCAGTAAATAAGAGCAGCCGGGAACCACCTGCTACAGCTATTGTGATCCTGGGTGGAAAACACTGGTTCCAGTTCCCACCTCCAGGAACCATTTTCATAATGGTGTGTGTAAACTGAGGCCACTTGAGCTCTACTGGACCACAGTGGAGCAGCAACCAACATCTTCTGAGTGGGACACCCTTCAGAGCTCACAAACCTGAGAGTTTGTGATAATCGAAGGACCAGCACCAAAAGACGGAACCTGAGCTGAAGTCCCCCATTCCTCGAGACTCAACCCTCACCCATTTGAGAAATGCTGAGATATTAGACATGAATATTTCACTGCCTTGAGGGGAATTTTTAGCAGGCAAACTTTTATGTCTTTATGTATGTGTGTGTATGTGTATTATAGGTAGCTATAGCAATTGTGGTAAATTCTATTGACTTACTTTATAAGATTCACCTTAAACCTGCAAACTGATGTTAAATGACACTTGTAACTGTAGATGAATACCACTGTCTATTTCTGAGACTAGGACTAGATCCAGTGGCACCTAGGCTCTGTCAGGAGTTCAGAAAGCAAGGGGTTCTCATGACTCAACAGGAGGGTCTCCTTTACCCTTTGTGCCTTCAGTCTTTGTAACATCTTTAGTTCAATTTTATCTTGATTTTCCTCCATTTGCTTCATCAATATAATAAGTAATAGAGTGAACCTTGCCATTGAATTCTGTTAAGTCATACCTTTATAAATCATATTAGAACTTCTCACCCTAATACCTTTGAAGGTGATTCTTTGAGTGACCCTAAACCATTCATTTTGTGACAAATTGGCATAGTTGGCAGGATGTCAAGTGATATCACTGATTACTTACAAAAACATGGAATCAGTCCAAGTCCCAAATTCTCAGAGGAGTGGGCTTGTGATAACTGTCAAGACTGGAAAACTGTGGAAGAACAACTAAAGTTGGCCAGGGACCGTTTAAAAGATGGCAAAGGGAAATTGTGAAATGCTGGACACCTGCCTAGAAGCAGCCTGTCAAGATAGGGAAAAGTATAAAAGGGAAAACCAAGATCTGAGGAAGTAAATAAAAGGCAGAAAGGCAACAGAATTATTACTGTCCCTGAAAATTGAGCAGTTGCAGAAACAGTTACAGGAAGAAAAGGAGAAAAAACAAAAGTTGGAGGAAAAGGTTGAAATTATGCTTATGCGGGTGCCTGATACACCTCACATTGTACAGATTAGGAAATTATTTGTATCGCCTGAAGAATGGGATGGAAATATATAGGGTAATATAGTACATTTGTAGTCAATGATATAAAATTACAAACATTAAACCATAGTAATGTCCTTTGACACAGTACAAGGAGCTTCGATACTCTAAAATAAATCAAATTTTAAAAGTCATATGTTCAGTTTCATTTTTATCCTGTCATCCAGAGATTATGTAAATCATTTTTAACACTCAGTAGTCAGTGATATTAATAATTCCCAATGAAACCATAATTTTTTTTTTCTCTGAAGAAATTGAGACAGTAAGCCAAAAGGAAATTGACTTATACTGAATACTTAGGTTTGAAAAAGATAAAAGATAATACAGTTAATAAGTGTAATTTAGAATATTGTTAGGTATCTCTCTTACTCCCATAGTTCAAAGATTTGCTAATGTTTTTCAAATATAAAATTTATTGCAATAAATGGATAATCTGCACAGAAGACAACAAAAATGAACTGTTGATGCTGTGTATTCTGAAAGGGTACTCTTGCTGAGTAAACCCAAAGAATTTGGATTCTCTTCAATTCTGGAGCAATCATCTTGGTAACATATGAACATACTTGCTTCCACTTGTGCAAAGT